CGCCTCAAGCAAGCTTGTCCCTTACCTGTGGCTAGTCGTCATCGTGGTTGGCCACTGGGCGAGGGAGAAGGAAGAAAGGAAAGAAAAGAAAAAAGGAAAGAAAAAATAAAAATAGAAAAATTAATTAAAAATTCGATTTTAAAAAAATAATTAAAAATACAAATTTTTTCAAAATATTTTTATGAGAACGAACATTTCATTAATCACGGACCTGAGCCCAAGCACCAAGGACCCGCGCACAGTCTTTGTGGACCAAAGCTTGAGCATCAAGGACCCAAGCATGGCCTTTATGGGCCTAGCTCGAGTGCCGGGGAATGAGGCACGAACACTAGCGGGTTAGGCCCAGCCTAGATGGACCCAGATGTGGGCGCCGGGAGCCCGGGCTCAGCCTTGATGGACCCAGGCCTAACCGCCGAAGAATTGGTCTTAAACGTCAGGACCGAGGAACCAACGCTAAGGTTCCCATGCCCTAGCATAGAGTTTCAGATCCAAACGCCAATACTTAATCATATTTTGGAAAATGTTTTTCGACTTTTCAAAGAGAAAATCATTTTCCTAAATTTAAGTATAGGTTTTCCATTAACTCATTTTTCTAAGCGAACCAAACACCAAAAAATTAGGAAATAATTTTATCGAAAAATATTTTTTGCAAAACAAAAGGAGTCTTGACTTAAATTGTACTCGGTTCACCTTTTTTAGTTGCTGGAGATATCTCTTAAATTCCACTCGGTTCACCTTTTTTAGTTGCACGTGTGTTAAAATGATCTTTTAACACATCCTTATGTAACTATTTATGCAGGAAATGGTGCTTTTCATTATTTGAAACTGCAAAACTATAAAAGGAAAAAGTTAATTATTAATCCCCATACTTAAGAGCAGAACGAAATTGGTTTTTAAAACTTTCAATCAATGCGAATAAGTTGTGCACCTTCCAAAAGAGGCGCAATCGAGTCCCTTTGTCATCATCAATCAAGAAATTGGATAGTTAGTAACCACTAACCAGAAGTATGCTCGGCAGCAGCTTTAGATGTCACCACCTTGGCGAAATCGGAAAAAAAATAATTATCTGAAGGACTTTACCGCACTATTCAAAGAAATATTAGGACTCAATTGAATTTCCTGGTGGAACCTTTTTTCTTTAGGCTATTGTCATTTTTGTTTTTAGTTTAAACGTTTAATATGTGATTTGTTTTTACGTAAGCACCCCAAAATCTACGAAATAAACAAATGTTAATATTTAGAGTCAGCCCAAAATTGGTCATTAATTTTTTTATACTCAACATGGTATTTTCGTTTGGGCTGGAAATTTAGTCGTAGCCCATGGCTTGTTGGTAAAAAGCCCACCCAAATAGGCTATCAAACTTTAGAATTGGGTATCCACAACGGAAGAAAGTATTCGGTGGTTACGTACCACCACGTCATAAATTGACGTGGCATATATTTCTGTACCAAAATCCAAAAAAAAAAAAATACCGACATAAAAAATAAAACAAATCAAGCTCTTTCTTTTTCTCTATCATTTTCCTCCTCCGTCCACAGCCATCTTCTTCATCCAATCGCGGGCACTACCTCCTCCATCTAGTCTCGTAGGTGCTGTGTCAAATTGAACCATTGCGTCCTAGGGGTGAACATGATTTCAAGGTAGAATCGATCCGATTCCAGATTCCAGGGTATGAGAGTAAGATCCATGTTCCAAAAATTAAAAAACCGGTTCCAATGGGTAAATTCTGAGTTCCAAGTTCGAGGTTCTAAATAGCTTGGAACCTATCTTTAAGTTTTTCTTGTTTTATGTTTTCGTGCAATCCTACAATATTTCACAACATTCGATAATAAATATGTAATTTAAAACCACTAGTCTGAGTTTCCATTTCTAGCGATATCCATGACTGAGACTTTATTTTATTAATATTTTCATATTCTTCGTGTATCTAAATATGAGTTGTGGTTAGTGGATTATAGCAGCAAATGGTAGTCATTAGAGGTGATGATTTACTGTAATCGTTTAATTAAGAATACAGGTGAAACCTAAGTAGACCTTGGAACCGACCCTAGAACCAGTGACAAGCTAGGTTTCACATTTTAAAGTATGCGGGGTAAGTTTCAGAGTATGCATGGTAGGTTTCAAGTTCTAAAAATTTGAAAACCGATTCAGACGGGTAGATTCCAGGTAGGACCTAGACCTACTATAGAACCGCTCACCCCTACCGTATCCATAAATCTTTCTCTGTTCATCCATGGCAATGGGTATTTTCACCTATGAATAAAAAAAAACATATTCAACAATTGAAAACTTCTGGGTATTATTCTTTTGGGAAAAAACCACCAAAACCCCAAACTTTGTCATCTGTGACACATTTACTCCGAACTTTTTTTGTGACACCAAAAACCCGAACTTTGCTTTTTGTGACACATTTACCCCAATGTATTTAGTCCATGGGCATTTTCGTCTTTTCTGCTTTTTTTTTTTTTTTTTTTTTTTCCTTTCCGTGCGGGGGCCTCGCCGGCGTCCTCCTCCGCGGATCCGTGCGAGGGCCCTCGCCGCGTCGGGCGAGGTTCGCCCTCGCCTTGGGCGAGCGAGGGCGGCCCTCGCCAGGACTCGGGCGAGGTCGACCCTCACGGCGTCGGGCGAGGGTCGACCTCGCTGGTCGAGCGAGGCCGCCCGCGCCTCGCCGAGGGCGACTCGGCGGACCTCGCCCGGCGAGGGTCGCCTCGCTTGGGCGAGCGAGGCGGCCCTCGCCGCCGGCAAAGCGAGGTCGACCCTCGCCGGAGCCGTCGACCTCGACCGGATCAGGGCGGGCCGCCTTCCCTGGGCGAGCGAGGGCGGCCTCGCCCGATCCGGCGAGGTCGACCCTCGCGGCGTCGAGCGAGGGCGGCCCTCGCCCGACTCAAGCGAGGGCGGACCTCGCCCAACGCCGCGAGCGGGCGAACCTCGCCGGCGCGGCGAGGTCGCCCTCGCACAGGCGAGCGAGGCCGCCCTCGCTGGGCGGCAGGGCCGCCTCGCCCGGCTCGAGGCGAGTCGACCCTCGCCGAGGCGTCGGGCGAGGCCGCCCTCGCTCGCCCGCGAGCGGCGAACCTCGCCGACGCCGTGAGGGCCCCCTCGCCGGAAAGGAAAAAAAAAAGCGTAAAAGACGAAAATGCCCATGGACTAAATACATTGGGGTAAATGTAAGCTGGGTTTTTGGTGTCACAAAAAAAAGTTCGGGGTAAATGTATCACATATGGCAAAGTTTGGGGTTTTTGGTGGTTTTTTCCCTATTCTTTTTGAATACGCCGTCCAGTGTGGGTTCCTCGAGGCTGGGAATGAAACTTCCTCTAATTTTTTTTTTTTGCTCGAAATGAAACTTCCTTTGTGGGTATGAAACATTTGGGTTTCCCCACAGCTTATTCAACTCTATGAGTTCTCTCCCAACGAGCCATGGCTAGACCTGTCAAATAGGTGAGTCGGGTCGGATTTGGTTCGGGTCGAAAATGATCCGACCTAAATAGACCCATTTACATGTAATGCAAATCTAATGATCCATATTCGACTGGACCCACATTGCTAAAATACTTCTATATTTAACTTAATCTAGAAAAACTTATACCCAAACTAAGATGAAAGTGTGGAGTGAATAAGCGCGAGACTGAGTGAAGGCGAAAGAGATGAGTTGAGTTTAAATAAGTTGTAAATCCAATTATGACCTATTTACGATCCAATTACAACCCATTTAATACCCATATTATATTTGTACTCATTTATGACCCATTTAGTGAATATAACTAACCTATTTCTTAACCTATGGGTTAAGAAATAAGTTTATGATCCATTTTAACAGGTCTAGCCATGGCCTTAGATATGGAGTTCCTCCTAGAGATGGACCATTGGCGAGTTCCTCTAGATCTAGAGATGGAACCCTTCGTAGGGAAAACCGAGCCCAACGGCAAGTTTTATGCGGCTAGATCTGGATCAACAGGCAAAGCCATGGACGAGCAAGAAGACGGAGCTACAGATGAGGCGACGCTCTATGGATGGAAGGCTACAAGCAATGATAGCTCATTCGACGAGCAATAGTGGTCAGCTTTGAGGCAATGCCGACGACTTCGGTGGTTATTGAATGAAGAAGATGATTGTGGGTAGAGGAGGAAGATGAGAGAGAGACAAAAAAAAGAGAGCTGATTTTGTTTTATTTACTTGCCACGTGATGGGCATATGTCGATTTTATATTCAATACAAAAGTATATGTCACGTCAGCCTATGATATGATGATACCTAAACACTGAATACTTTCTCCCACAATCAAGAGCCTCACATTCTATTTTCATTCAAGCAAGCACGAGGCATATTTTGAAGAAAAATGACAAAAATGATATCTAAATTTTAGCTCAATTTTTAATGTAATCCCCTAAACTTTTAATTTGTTTAATAAGATCCATAAACTATTGATAAATTTTTAATATAATCCTTTTGCTTGCCCAAACGACAAATTAGACATTATTTGATAATGTGGATATTTCTACTTTTAAAAATGATAAGACAATATGTCCATCTTTTAATTTATCTACTAAAAAAAGGAAAAAAATTAAGACATTGACATGCCAATCATTATTTGATGACGTGATTTATTAATCCTAATTTGAAATAAATATTTTATTTGGATAATCCAAATGCAACTTTTTTTTGTAGCCCACCATTCAAACTAAACGAATTGAAACCCATATCAACAAATTTCATTAACTTGAATTAACAGAAAAAAAACATTAAACATTTTCATTTAGTCTAGAGACTAGATTAAACATTGGCTAATAATTTAAAAATTACAATGAACAAATTTAAAGTCCAAAGATGACATTACACTTTGACGAAAGTTCAGACATCATTTGTATTATATTTTCTAGTTTATACACTGTTCATCATACGCAGGGAGATTCAAGTGCCACTGTACCTTTCTTGGCCAAACTTGAAGGATCCTGTGTATTCATTTTTTGCACCTTGTTAATTTTCTGAAATGATGCAAAACAAGAAAAAAAACATTGTCTGTTCCTGTCGATGTCATTGCTGAGTCCGAATATCTTGCCAAAGCATCCAACCATGGAGTTTCTTTGTCCTCCGTAGCTCTACAACACAAATTACTTCCCCGAATGTAGAAGATGGATGGGGATGAAAATAAATGCTAATACTTCCTAAGAGATTGCAGTTAGTGCCTACCAGCTAATTTTACTAACATCCTAACGATCATTGCGGATCTTAAACGAATTGGGTAAGGTAATCAGAGTCTCTGGACAGTAGAAACAACCTCCTTTGATATACGACATTGCCGGTCTTTGGTATATCTAATTTACAATCAATCACCAAGGCTGGCCCTTGCCTCCAAGCCGACGAGCCAGCTCAAAATCCTTCCTCACTGCAATGAAAAGAGCAAAAAAATATTGTAAGTGAAACAAATCACAGTCCCATGTATCTAGAGTGGCTGTCAACAGAATCAAATATCAGGAGATCTTGCGGTCATTGGAATCTAACAGTCCATCGAGATCTGATCATATCAGTTGCATGTCAAATATGATGCAAGCAGTTTCCATCGTAGTCAGCAGCAGGAAGCTTCACATCACTAGGAGTAAATGGGGTACTTTGCTTCTCAATGGGATTCTCATTAAGGTCAACGAAAGGGTAAGCCAAACGGTACAATGTATAGAAGGATGTAAGGCATATATTTCAGCCACTTCATGAGCCTTATAATACAATGTATTACCCGCATACATGTTCCGAATGTAATCACTTAAGCAAAATTAAGATGGTGTAAGAATGGAAAGCAGCTAAGCATGATCAGATTGTCAAGGGAGTATTAACCTTCAAACTTTACCTTCCTAACCCTGTGGATCCTTTCGCCACATATTTAACCAAAAAAAAATTGTCCGTCCAAACAAAATGAACATTTGTCTCCCAAATTCCAGACAGGAAAAAGATTCCTTCTCCCTGCTTATCTATAGTTCACCAGTGTAGCATAATTTGCTGATACTAGAAATTAAATAGGACTTACTGATGGTAACACGCTTTGCATGAATAGCGCATAGCACTGCATCTTCGAATAAATGAACCAGAAAATCCTCTGCTGCCTACATAAAGAAAGAACAGCATTAGTTACAATAAAAAGTACAACCAACCACATTCAGCCATCAAAATAATTGCAGACACCACTGAATGTTTTCCTAGCATTTGAGTATCAAATGAAATAGCTTCTGCTCACAATACCAAGTTAAAGTAACCAAAGAGTTAAATGCAGTTAACACATAATTTTATCGCCGCTAACATGGCGCTGCGCTGTATGTTCTGCTACGCAATTAACTATGATGTTCATGAACTTACAATATCATCCACACATTTAGCCATGCAAGTTCCAGTCTTAGGTTTTTCGTATCTCATGTCGAATGTGGACAGAAACTATTATACCCTATGACGATAATCAAAGAACCAGTATTCACACAGCCGCAACTTTCAAGTAGAAACCAGGGGCATCCAGAGTCGCAGACTCAATCAATGAAGTTATCAGAAGATAGCTTAATTTGACACAACTTTTAATTAACAGAAGATACCGCATTTCCCAAATGAAATTTTCTCAATAATCATGACTCCAAGTGAAGCATATAGAATTGCAAAGGCAGCATGCTAATAGGTAGAGATTATCCGGAGTCATATAGGAAGAGCACATAGCATGATCAATGTCAAAGATCTCCCGGAAGACCATGCCACATGTGCAGCCACTGCTGCTCAAAGTATAAATCATGTTGACATCGTACCTCCTGAATAGCCATTAGAGCTTCAATTGTCCAACGAGTGATATCAGGGGCTAGAGTACTACTAATTTCTCTTACCTGCAACAACAACAACAAAAAAAAAACTCTATCAGGAATACCACCTGAAAGAATCTACATAACAGATGCATTTAGTTTCAAGATTTGCTAGTAAGAGATGACTTAGCTAATTAATACATCTAATTAAAAAGCAACTGAAACTGAGGCACCGATGGAAATCATTCCCTGACTTACCACAGAGGTCAAAAAGAAAATTTATACATTAAAAGCATTCGATATATTGAGAGATTAATGAACTAGCTGATTAAATGACATTACATTGTTGGGATTGCCATGGAATGCAGACATAAATATCTTTCATCAGCTTGTTTTACCGCATTCGAGACATAAATGTGTAATCTGATCATTCTCCTCTTAAAGATAGGGACAAAATTTCGCAAATTCGACTCTCGGTTCAGAAATGAAAAGAGCAAGAGTTCAGTACAAAATCCAAAAGTAAATCCATATAATAAACGTTCTGCAGGTCCACTAAAGATCTGTCAAATACAGGAATTAAATTTACTCAAATCACGTGCACCACATGGCAACACTTGTGAAGATGGAACAGATGTTTTAATTTTTCTACACTTCTGGAATCATGAACAAAAGTCTGTCATCCAAAGTAAATAAAGGCCCCAATACACAAACTATTACAGCAAATGATGCCCAAATGGCGAATTGGCAAGCAGCACTGAAGTAATCACATGCGGTCACGATCTGAAGCCATCTATCACGAAGTAGATTCACCCATGTCCACAAGCCAAAGCTACAATTTTCCACATACACGTATACAAACAAGATAGTAAGACCTGAAGTAGAGTTCCCATAACTAATTATCACATATCTTCAATGAATCGTCTAATGGAGAACTGTTGATCCTTGGCTGCTTCTATTCTAGTGAACATGCATATGCAATTATGCAAATGTATGCTTACAATACAAGCACAATAACAATACAGCCTCATGTCACTAAACTTGACCACATGGATGTTTGTACCCGCTAACTAAGCTATGTTAAGTATCAAGCTTTCAGTAAAGCATAGACTCACGGTCCTAATAAAAGGAGCTTTTGGTATGAGCAGCCCCGAGGACTTTTGGAAATGTCGAATTTCCCGGAGAGCGACTGTTGCTGATCTGACGCGTCGCTTCTTCTGCCTCGATGCCACTGGACCTTAAAGGGAGAAGGAAAGAGATATATCAAGCATTCTGCTAGCATTCAACTTTATCATAATCAACATAGATCAAGACACATCGCCTGGTGGAGCGAAAACAGGATTCATTACTATCAACAAGACTCACCCCGTGGAGCAGCACTTTTCCTGGGGCTTTTCCTGGGGCTTGTACTCGTGCCGGGGGTCTTCAGCATCGACGGAAACAAACAAGATCGGCAGAAGAAAAGATGCATACACAATATTAACACGAGGAAAACCCGGGACTCGCATTTGCAAAATAATAAAAACACATAGGAGAAAAAGGCGCGACTTGTCCAACTTCTAGGAACTCAAAGCCCCCTTTCCTTCCGGTCTCCTCTTGCGTTCCCATCTAAAGCAGCTCAAAGCACAAAAGGCGCACAGCGAAAAAAGCTAACCCAAATCGCGCATCACGCTAGACCTACCGGCAATTGCATCGACGAATCCAAAACAAAACACACTCTACAGGATGAATCTTTTCAGCTCAACTCAACATCTTGACTGTCGGAGAGACAAGACATGACAAGACCCAAAAAAAAAAAAGGGACAAGAAAAAGAACAAATCCGACAACATATCCAACAGCCCAACACCGGCAAAACCCAGAACGCCCGGATTTCGGACACGAAACAGAGAGAGCGAAAGGGTAAAAAGAAATAAAAGAAGAACCGGAGAGAGAGAGAGAGACGTACGGAGCTGGGCCCGGGCGTAGCCGGCGACCGCGACGCGGAGGCGGAGCCTGCATTGCAGATTAGACCGATCGTTAGGGGCCCCGGAAACGCACGAATCCCTAGGCCTCGAATCGCGACGAAGACGGGAAGAGAGAGAGAGAGAGAGAGAGAAAGAGAGAGAGGAGGACCGACCGCGACGCGGCGGCGGCGGCGGGCGGCGGCGAGCGGATTTCTTGTGGGCGGTTTGCTTGGTTCTCGCCATGGAAGGAGCGGGGAGTCTCGAAGGTGGCCAAGCTCAAGGAAGACGACGACGGCGACTGGAGGAGGAGGAGGAGGAGAGGGAGGAGGGGAGCGGCATTTCGGGACCTCGGGCGGGATTTCAATTTTCGCACATCTCTCTTTTTCCCACCCATGCGACGTTTGTACGGTTAATTAAATTACGATTTTTTTTTTGTGTCCAAAAACAAAAAAAAAAATATTTACAAAGTTTAAAAATGAAAATCATTGAACAAAATGTATTTCCACCCCCCCCCCCCCCAAACCACAAATCATCAGGTGTTACCAAATTTGAAAGCCGGCTTTACGACATTAATTAATTTGATTTCTTAGATCCTTCCATTTTTTTTTTCGAGAAAATTCCGGATAAAGACTTTTGTTTTTTGGTCAGACGAATAAAGACTTGAAGTGCTATCATTTAAGACTTTTTTTTTCTCAAATGACGGCATGAAGTTGACCTTATTTCAAATAAGAATCGAAAGTATCTATATTAATTTCAAAAAAGGGCTTGACTTTTCGACTGGTCAAGGGCATTTCCGTCTTTTATCCTTTTCTTGAGTTTTTCCCTTTTTTTCTTTTTTCCTTTTTTCCTTTTTTTAGATTTTTTTTTCTTCTTCGTCGGTTGTCAGTCTCTAGCGATGGCTGGCCACCGGCGGTACCCGGAGAGAGCTAGGCAACGATCACCCTCGCCCGATCTAGCAAGAGTACCCTCTGCCAGCACAAGTGAGGCGACCCTCACTTAGGGCGAGGCCGGCTCTCGCCAGATCTGGATGAGAATCACCGACAAGGGTCATTAGGCCCTCACTGAAAAGAAAAAAAAAAGAAATGAGAAAAAAGAAAAGAAAATTATAAAATGTAAAAATAATTTAAAATTAAAATTGTCTTTAGACAAAAATGCCATTGATCGGTTGGAATTTTTAGCCGGCTGTCGACCGGCGAGGTCAGACCCTTATTTGAAGCTGCTATGGCCACTTCAAGCCATTATTTAAAATTGACATGGCCTCTTCATGCCCTTATTGAAAAAAATGAAGACACTTCATACCCTTATTTGGGATTTTCCTCTCTTTTTTAATTCCCGAACAGCAATATCGCGAGAAAACTCTCAAGAAGGGGCCGTAGTGACAGTGCTCACGGCCGTGCAACTGAAGAATGAGGTCGTCTACAAATAAGAATGGCAGGGGTTAGCTTTGATAGGACACAAGTTCCTACCGGTTAAAAAAGTCAGTTCAATTGATGATGGGCGAGATCGTGTGCTTGGCGACGAGTTAGAGCACATTAGCGGCGCCGGTTATGCTCTTAAAGCCTTCCAAAAGGTCCAGGGGTTCTAGTCCTAGCGGCGGTGCAACCCGGCAGAGGACGTACACTTGAGCAAATGCTATTGGATTGGTTGAACAACCAGGAGAAGAGAGTTTGAAGACCGCTTTAGGGAGCAAGAAGATGCATAGTCTTCCTGAAATAACTCCGGAGCGTCGGGTCAAGATCGGTTGTCCACCATCAACAATGGAGATGAAGGCGGCAACGGGGCTCTGCACGCGAACAGAGGAGGTCGAACATCAACATATGGAGTGGCTTATCCCTTTCTTTTTTTTTACGAAATGGCCGTCGAACCGCATTTGATTCACCGCCTAACATGATTGTTCGTCGCTTGCTCATAACCACCCCGTAGCATACCGTGTCAACTCCACTTGGGAGAATATTCGAGTCTTTGAGACGTCTTTGGAGACAATCCCGACGCCTGGCGCTCTTTAATTAAAAATAATATAATATTAATATAATATTAGACCGGGTCAGGTCAACCGACCTGAACAAAATGGTCAGAACGAAGATCTTATGGAGTGAGCTCTTGTTAAGTTACCTTGGATCGTCTGTTCATGGGAGCACTTTAGGAGCAGACGGCGGGCTCGGGCAATTACTCCGCAGATACCTGCATACAAACATAAGCACGAGGAATACGCACGTACTCGTACAAACCAACCAGCAGGCGACAATCACCTTGCATCTCCGCAAGAAATTCCGCAATAATCCATGACCTTCTGAGATCGCGTCTCCGTGTCCTGGAATCAACACTGGAAAAGTACATTGGAACAAGCAAAAGATGCTTCATTCCCCCAATATAACGATAATATCCGAAAACAATCGTGTGTAAAGTACACTGTTTCAGTGCTAAAATTCTATGGACAAAGTAGTACAGCTAGCAGGAGCAGCAAAACATTAACGAACACATGCAAATCTTTTCATTCAAGAAATTCCCCCGCTTCCCCATTTGGAGCTCTGAGATTTTTTTCGAGGGATCGGAACAACACGTGACGGCACTGTTCTTATGTGATGTTATGGGGACTGGTTTTGAAGATAGCCGTCTAATACCAAGTGGCGCATCCCGAATCAGATATTCTGATTGCTCCAGTTGAACGAAGAATCTGGGTGGAGCCTGATGATAATGAACCAGCAGCGGCCTTAATTCTCAGTTTTCTCGACTCCTGCTGCTTTGTCTTTATCTACCTCAGGGGTCACATTCCCAGATTCCTCAACTCCTGATTCATCTGCTTTACTATCTTCAGAAGCGACTTCTGTTTCAGCCACCATCTCTGAATCAGTTTGGCTCGAACCTGGATCGACATGACCAGATACTGACTCGGCAGGATTGGAGCTAGAAGTCTCACTTGCAGGCTGGTGATCTTCTCCGGCACTTCTCTCATTATTCACCGATAAATCTTTAGATGGAGAAGGTTCAGCCGCATCAGAGTCGCTATGGTCACCCCTATTCTCTGACTCGGCACCATGATCGCATGAATTCTCCGGCTCCACTTCACCATTGGGAACAATAGGTGGTTTATCTGTGTCAGGTTGATCAATGATGTCAGACATTTCGCCCCAGTCTACCCACTCAGGCTGCTTTTCAGCTTCGCTAACCCCAATTTCTTTTACGTCTTCACGTGCATCGTCGAGCAGAGTATCTTCTAGTTTCGCAGCAGGTTCTTGACAAGATGTTGCATCAGGGACTGAGTCAGTGCCCTCATCAACAGTTACCTCATCATTGCCACTGCTGGTGGTGTGGCCGACGCTATCATCATCAAGAGATGAGGAAGCAAGCATGTCAGTCGAGTGCTCAGTGGCAACTCTATGGTCGTCAAAAGCAAACCAGTTCGAATTTGTGAAAAGCGATCCGCTGCAAACCAAAGCATCAGGATATCAAGTTCATTACTGACGGCATAAAACGATGACCCATGATATAAGCACATAAAATATGCTGGATGAAGTATACTACTGAAAGCAAAAGGTTTACACTGCTCGTAAACCTTTCAAAGATAATGGACTCATCTGAGGATCACAGTTTCTACTTGAAAACAGGAGATAAATTACTCCAAAAAACTTCTAACTAGCCAAATTTAAATATGAGATGTTATCGCCAGCATGTGAAACTGACACTAGTCTCCCATAATCAAATGGAGTTCAACCAAATCTCAAAATTGTTGAACAAGCAGCAACCTATCAATTGACTTATGCTAGCACCAATCTACAAATTGATACTTCAACTTCTTAGATGAATGCACTTCATTAAACAAAAGATGCACAGAAAATTTCTGAGCATTGCAGACGAAAAGTTGACTTAGTGATGAAAGAATCGATGAAATTGAGATATCGACAAAAGGAAGACATTTGAAACTTTGGCCGTCCACCAACCTTTCCTGGTCATCTCCAAGACGCAAAGATGATATGACCACCTCGGCGGATTCATCATCAAAGTAAACGTCCTGCAAAATACAAAGTCAAAAGCTCATTTATTTTGCTACAATGTCGGAAGCTCGAGACATTACTTCATTGTACTTAAAAGACAAGCACACGATGAATCAAATTACAGTGTCCTAAGGTGTGACCATCTGACATATGCACAACAGACTATCTTTGCAGAAGCCATTCACCAAAATGTTTATCCAAGAATAGCAATTCTTCAAGAAACAATCCATTCAAGTTATTTAAAGAAATTCATGTCCTGTTCATCGGCTAAGGAAATATGAGGAAGGAAAGGATCAGGCTGAATTGAAAAACAAGAAACTGCGTGGTTAGAAAACTAGAAGGCAAACAAATTGTGTTTTCATTTCAAGGTCAGGAAAACTTTCCTTCTAAACAGCCTTTGCATTTGGTCCCCGCAAACAGGCTTCTCATTTTAATCACTTACAGATGGTTCTGCTACTATTTTAGTCTCTCCAACCTTTTTTCTTGCCTTTAAGAGTGTAAAATATTGAAAAAACACTACTAAATGGGACCAACTTAGCAGCAATAAAATAGGCCAAGTACAAAAGAAAAAGTTGTTAGTGATTCAATATAAGAAACTTAAAATGACCACATTATTTGTTAAAAACGTTACCAACAACAGTTGTCCAATACTTAGTACTGTCATCCTTGTTCCAGAGTCCTAAAGGACACCTAGGTCTTTTCGGACGGGTCTGCATACTGTAAGTGGGCATCTCTTCAAGTTTGTTGTCACGTTTTAGCCAAAAACATTGTACTAAGATGAGAACTCACCGAAAGTACAAGGACAAGAAGTATACTTTTTCCACTGATCATAGTAAAAAGTACACCGTTTTTAAGATTAAAATAAGAGAGAATGGAGGGGTAGTGAAATTTTTCAGGTTTTATTGACTTTGAACCATAACTAGGGAATTGTAGAATAGGAAACAATGCGCCAAACACATTTATAGAAGATTGAAAAAATGAAAATTCGAAACAGTAAAATTTTGTGACACTTTCCAATAAAATGAAAAATGATATGCAATAGAGTCAAGCACACGCACTTAGTTTCTCCTGTCCAGCTATTTAAGTAAAATGACAAGGACAATGATATGGTCAAGCATGAAAAATAGACTATAAAATTGAAGCTAGAAAACAATAGGTTGTAATAGTAAGATGATTAACAAGGGAAAGAACAGTCAAAACATTATCTTACCAGTCACCCTACATCCCCACTGTACTATCCGCCAAAAATTCAGGCAATCACTCCTTGATCATTTGCTATGTGATCATAAACAAAAATTCAAACTCCAAACCACAACTTTGGACGCTTATTACATTAAATTTCTTCTTAGAGCTTCAAAACAAGGTGTCCACTTGGCTCTCTC